ATAATAAACGGCTTTTTAAGTAAAGTATGCAAAAGCTTTTTTCCACCAAGTCAGGTGGAGACTTCTGTGTCTCTTGGCATCTACAGGACCAATCTGGGCTCCACTGGACTCAGTACTGCTTCAACTTAACCTGTTTTGGGGGAGAGAGTTTGGACAGCATACACCACTCACTGACTGGTCTGGCATTAACACTGGTGAGGAAGTTTGGACCAGAACACACCACTGGATCCGTGTCGTCATAAGTAGACCTCCGTGAGAAAGACTTGACAGCAGGACACACGTCACTGATGACGTCTTTGTCTGCGTAACTTAACCTGTGAGGAACGGAGTCTGGACAGCAGGACACACTCACTGACGTCTGTATTAGACTAGTGAGCCGTGGAGTAAGAGCGTCTGGGACACAGAAATCACTGACTTGTCTGTCATTATCTAAACCTGTCCGAGAAAGAGTGAACAAGACACACTCACTGACTGTGTGTGTCATTAACAAACCTGTGTTGGAGAGAGTGGTTGACACAGACACACGTCCACTGAACTGTCTTGTCGTAACCTAAACCTTGAGGAAGACGTTGATGTTTACAGCAGCTTGTAGTGAGACTCTTTGGGGAGCACTTAAGGTCACATAGTAAAACTACATTCTTGTTATTGTTGTGACGTGAGAGACCCCCTAGTGGCAAAAATTACAACTACTGACTTTAAAATATCCCAAAAAGATTCCCTCTCCTCTGTTTCTGAGGCTGTGGAGGTTTGGTGAAGTGTGGACTCTGTATTTGTGTCCTCAGGGGGACAGTGGAGGTCCTCTGGCCTGTGAGGACTCGTCCGTGTGGAAGCTGGTGGGAGCGACCAGCTGGGGGATCGGCTGCGCCATGAAGAACAAACCGGGCGTTTACACTCGCATCACACAGTCGCTCAGCTGGATCCGCCAACAGATGGAGGTCAGTACGCGACGAGCCGGGTCCCGTTAGGGTCGGCCTCTTCAGAAGGAGTTGACTGTAACTCTCTTTTAACGTTGAGGCGTCTCGGGTTCGTTACGACGCCGAAAAGATGGCTGCAGTGTCAAACTAAACCTGTAGGTTCATGTAGACCATCTGAGTTAAGGGCTGAAATACAAAACACATTTTCCAGGACAATGTAGATTATTTCCAGGATTTTTTGTATTTTTTAATCGATTTTCAGGTGTTTCCATGACCGGAACACTAGTCTCTAAAATCTCTTAAATCTCTGTCTCTTTAATACATTTCCAGGTTTCCATGACAGGAAATTAGTCTCTAAATGTCCAGATTTTCCAGGACTTTTGGGAATCCTGTTGTTATTGTTCGACTTTTGCATTTAACACAAACTAAAACTTTAAAAAACCATAAAGTTTCAGACAATCTGAGCCTGTTTATGGTAAAAACAACTTTTAATGGACGAACTACTTTGTTTCTACTTTCTCTACTTAAAATATGTAAAAAAAATAGAGCCCAGGTTTAAAAATACTCTTTAAATACTGACTTTAAATGACAAATCTGAAGAAAAACAGCAGTTAAACAGTCCAGTTTCTTCAGTTAAACCTTGACGAATCGACCTTTGCCAGCTGTTGGTGACTAATCGACCTCGGCCAGCTGTTGGTGACCTCGCTGTGTGAAGTTGGACCGACAGCTGGTTCTCCTCCTTTATGGAATCCGAGCGCAGCAGCTGGCAGCGTCGTACGTTGGCCCAATTTCAGCTGCCTTTATATGGTAAAAGCTTTGAAATGTTACACTCGAGTCCACGATACGAGACCATAAAGCGCTCTCCCCGTGTCCCTGTGCTGGTTACCGCACACAGAACCTCTCACACAAACTCACTGAAGAGACGAAGGAAGACCTGATTTGTTTCATTTATAGTCTGTTATGTTGCCATGGTGCATCGTGTGTTGAGAGGAAGCTGCCAACACTTCTCACTAATAACACACAACTAACTATTTAACAGGACAAACAACGATTAGAGGCAATTTGTTTCTTACTTTGTGCAACAGACGTTTATCTCTAAGTATTTTATTGCAAGTTCATCTTTTTGGGTTTACAATAGAAAAACCCTATAAAGCCTTAAGTTTGTACATTATATTACAAAGGTTTTATATTCTAGTGGTTTCACTTTAATAAATAAATTCAATTTATATTAGAAATTATTGATCTAAGATCATTTTATTAACATTTTCACAAATATCTACTTATTTGTTTCTGGAAACCTTCAGAATAAAGTGTTATAAACTCTGAATTCTGACTTTAAAGTGTGATCACAACCTTAATCAGTATCATTGGTGACGCCTGTGTTTACCTGATTATTTCATGTTAAAACTTGACTACAGCTTTCCTCTAAAAGTGACATTAAACTGACCACAGCACAGGCTGCGATACAGTTTACATTCTTCAGGACAACTTAGATTATTTCCAGGTCATTTTAATCCATTTCCAGGTGTTTCCCTGACTGGACAACTGGTCTGTATAGGTCCCGGTTTTCCAGGACACCCTGTACACGTTTCCTTCTGTGTTTGTGTTAACTGTCCATTTCTGTTCTCTTTCAGAGGGAAGAGGCTCTCAGTTCTCCAACTTCAGACAACTGAACCGCCTCGTTGCTTCTCACAGGACTCTGTTTGGATGTTTCCACAAACACACACACAAAAAACAACAACCAGAAACTGTTTGACACCAGGAACGACGGAGACTTTGATCCACACAAAACCTGTTTGTGACGGAGCAGAGAGAAGAGACGGTGCACAGCAGAGAGTTAGGCATCGTTTATTCCAAAATAGAAAGCTCTAAGGCAAAACAGACAAGAGAAAAGTGAAGAACGCTTCATAAAAAGCAAGACAGACGCAAGTGAGGAACCGAGAGCTCAGCGAGGGCCCACCCAGACTCACTACACCCTCGGGCTGCATGAAATTAACCATTTCAAGTCCTTACGAGAGGGTTCAACCAGGTTACTGCAACTATTGACAGACAACTGTTGTACAGTACAATATTACAGATATTCAAACAAGAGGCACCCCAATTTGTGCAGTAATATCAACATATTGATAAAGAGAATTCAAATCTTTCACTACACTGTGTATGTAGTGGCGGCGGCGGCGGGGGGGAGGGGGAACGACGGAGGCCGCAGCGCTTTAGTCCCAGTCCTTCAGGCGAACAAGGAGTTTCCAACTGCTCTTTGTTTTCAACGCAGTAGCATGTACGTGTACATAAATAAAAGTTTAATGCGTGCAAAAAGTCCGCTGCTTCTTGGTGGAGTTCTCAGACCCTTTGTGATTGTGTGATTAGCATAGTGTTCTGGATTGTGCATTTGAGGAAAAGTGACGCCTACGCTACTACTGTAAAAGGATTTTAAAAGACGTAATGTATGGTATACACAATGGGGGTAAAACTGGAGCTCGGGCTGGGGATCGACCACACGAATGACCACACAGATACCTTCACTTCGATATCGGCTCCTGAACTTAAATCGATACCAACTTCATAAAAAGGTCCTGGAGCAGCTGGACAGACTGTTGAGACTGTGTGGGGACGTTTATGGTTCTGGGAGGCAGAGTGAGACCTTCTTACCGTCTCTGTGCTACAGACCAGCTCCCCGGGTCCACAGTCCACCGCCAGCTGTGGCGAGGAGAGGATACGCCTCGGTCCCAGCGGAAGATGAGGTTAGCTGCACTGAAACTAACAAGCACAAAGTTTACCCCGAAACTCCACCGGCTTTAAGACGGCGCGTCTGCGTGTTGTTGTGTCACAAACAGCGTTTCTCCGCTTACAATCTCTGACTGACCGACTTCTAGAGGGCTGCATCAGGACGCAAAGCGGGAAAAACACTAAACAGAACAAAAGAGCGAGTCCCGGGATTTATCCATCAGAAAGATGGAAACAGACTCGAACGAACAGTTCAGGTTTAGAAGAAGATTAATGCAGGTTTTTACTAAACAAGAGCAAAGCAAGTCTGACGTCTGAGGACATTTCAGACACATCTTATATATAAAGTCACACCAGATCTTTATTGTGTGAGAGTGAATGTTCTTCGCCTGGTGTCACATCGTTGGCGTGAGTCTGTGTGCGGTATTTTATTTTGAAAATTCAGATTTCTTAATGCCATTTCTGCGTCTTCAAACGTAGAGCAGCCACGTGTTGTCCGGTGGAATTTGGGGGTTTTCTGTGCAGATTAGTAGCTTGCGGTAAAAGGTTTTACTCCGTTGGTATCGATGTTCGGGACCGAATGTAACAGTATGGAGGTTCGGTACCCAGCCCTAACTGGAGCTGTGTTTAAAAACATCCGAGCGCTGCAGTGTGCGAGATAACGCAGCGCGCAAAGTAACATTGTTAACGACGCTTTTACAGAACCGCGCACACGTTCTGTGGGTTTAGTGTCTTTTTGACCGATTTCACCGAAGGTCAGACTCTTTTTTTTTTTTATTTTATTTTGTGCTTCTTGGCAAGAATTGTTTAGAAAAAGACACACAGGTAAGGCCTTGTTAGTATTGTAAGTTTAAAACCAATTTAAATAGCAATTTTTCATCAGCATTCAATTCCTTTTTTCTGTTTTTTAGAAAACTTCAAAGAACCCTGGAAAACAGGGTCGCTAGCTTTAATTATGAATCTGTACATAAATATTCCTTACAAAACAGGAGAACACAAAAAATGAAACAAAAAACAAAAACACTAATTTCATATGTTTGTATATAAAAATAAGCATCTCTCCTTTTTTTTTTTTCTTCCTCATTCTCTCCACTCGAGGCTCCGCTCGGGGTCCGCTGAGCGCCGTGGAGTCGGTCGTAAGAGTGCGCACATCTACTCAAAACACAAGCATGCAAAAAGTGAAGACAAACCCTTACAGATACAACTTTAAAGTGTTGGCATCCAAAATGAGAATTCAACTGGGGGGGGGGGGTGGTTAAAAATCGATAAATCAGGTCAACATTTATTAACGGAGTATACAAACTGCCTCGGGGGTGTTTTAACACTTCTTTTTTTTTTTTTCTCTTCTGTTTGTTTGATTTAATCTTTTTGAGCTTAAATATACAAAAAAAGTGCACTCGCATACGTCAACGAAATAATTATAAAACGGTTTCTGATAGAAACTCCTGATGTACACACACGCAGCATTAAACCGCCGTTCAGCAGGGTGGAGGGTTGGAAGAGAGAGCAGGACGTTCCCATTTGTGTCCTGTGCTTTATTCTGCTCGGGTGTAACCTGGTGTTGTGTGTGTGTGGTGTGTGTGTGGTGTACTATGATTCTATGTGTGTGTTTGGGACTTGAACAACCTTTAACGCCACGTCTCGGATTCGTGGGTCCGCGGCGGGTGTGGTGGTGATGTTGTGTATGCAGTGTGTGGGGAGTGTGTGCCTCTACTGCCAATGGAGGTCGCTGTGTCAGGCCCAGCCCGGCCGTATGTCTGCGTCGTCGTCTTCGTCTCCGGCTTGTCCCCCGACTCGTCCTCGCTGCTGGCTCTCCCAGCAGTCACCTGCTGTACCCAGCGCGTGGTGCCGTCTGACGTCAGGCTCTGCCAGATCCCTTCCGAGCGCTTCCCCTCGGTCACCAATAGTACCTGGGAGGGAGATGGGAAATAGCGAGAGAGAAGATTAGGACAGGATGGGTGCATTGCGGCTTGAGAAAATGCTGCTTCAAAACCAGCTTGCAGGAGACCAAGGCGCGCAAAACGAGGGCTTGGATTTTGTCGACTTCACGAAGCTTGTATGATAAGGGCCAGTTTTCATGGGTCACTCTTCCATCAGTTCAGACAGATAAATTATTTATGACTCTCCGGTTTTAGTCCAGATAGGAACTAAGTTGGCTTTAATGGTTTAGGGCAAACTCTACGAGTGTATTCAGCATAGGGACGGCAGCGGCTCCGACCGCCAGAAGGTGAGCC